GTGTGTGTGTGTGTGTGTGTGTGTGTGTGTGTGTGTGTGTGTGTGTGAGTGTGTGTGTGTGTCTGGAAGGGAGTGGTAATGATGTGTCCTGAATACAGTGCTTGGGGGAAAACATCTTTTTCAATAAATTAACTGTTTTCACTATCCCAATTACTACATCGTCTACCAGCAGACATTAGAATTATTTTTAATAAATATATCCCAAAATTCTATTAATTTCATTTTTTACCACTTCAAAAGTTAAATAAAAATATAAGCTACATCCTTTAAGAAAACCTGGGCTAAATGCAAAGCCCATTTTGATTCTTCGGCTAAGATTCTCCCCACAGGTCTGGTCTCTTATTCAAATGTACCAATTAGCATGTCAAACCCAACTGTGACTTTCCTCCAGTCTATCAAAAAGATAGACGTGTTCTCTGAGGCCTTGCTTTACATGATTGGCCCCAAGAACCCAAGATGTCGAGTTTCACACTTACTCCGCATGATAATCACTTAGCTTCACCTCGCTTTGAAGACAAGGAAGAAAGTGATGAAAAGGGAAGCAGAGGAGGCAATCTGCAATCCAAACACACCCATTAACTCCCAAGTCATCTTGCAAGTGCCAGCATGACACACATGGAATTGTACGTGGCCCACTGCAAAAGCCCGGGTTAGGACTGGCCATAAGAATCACCTGAGGCCCACAGGTGCACCAGAGACCAGCGCCAAGAGCCATTCCAGCCAGCGTGCTGCAACACCCTGCTATGGGAACACACACACGCACACACGCACACGCACACGCGCACGCGCACACACGCACGCGCACACGCACGTGCACGCACACGCACGCACACACGCGCACGCACACAGAGTTAAGGTATTAGTATTAAGGGACAAGAAAAACCCAATAAATGTGAGGTGTTATTAAGCAATCTCAATAAATGGCAAATTAGGACTATAGCTGTGTTTGTGTGTGTTTTGTGTGTGTGCGCTTTGTGTGTGTGTGTGTGATATGTGCATACTTTAATCACTTCTTAGGGAATAAAAGTGAAAATGTGAACACAAGCTAACATCAATAGCACACGAGATACAGCGAAAAGACTTCCCAGTGTGACGTACTTCCGGAGCTAAGCCACGGCTGACTCCCTGCTCACCTGAGTTGGTGTCCCTGAGTTACTCATGTACTAGACCCACCGGGAATGCACCGTCAGCATTCCTACATGCCTGTGTGTCTGCATGCCATTCTTCTCCTCAGCTCTCACACCCCACATTTGGGGTGATACCTATTCAGGGTCAGTACGGTCCTCCACAGAGTGGCCCCTAGAATCAGACCAGACTCTGACGGTAAGGGAGAAATGACACATGCATAGGTAAGAAGAAGCCAAGGGTCAGCCCTCAAGTCACATAAACACAGGTAACCTGACATGAAAACACGGGCCGAGCAGGCCACAGTTACGTATTTAGGAATGTTTGTGATATCAGTGTCAGTGTGTGTAAAACATTTACATACACATACGTAAAATAACAATGAAAGAAAAAGAGGTGAAGAATCTGGGGGAATTCATGGGAGGGGTTGAAGAAAGGATTGTTTTAATTTCAAAATAATCATAAAGGATTTTTAAAAGGAAGTCCTTCAAATGAAAATTAAAAAAATAAAAATAAAAAGCAAGACATGCCCTCCCTCCCTCTACCCTGCAGGAAAATCACCAGGGTGAAGACCTTCCAACCAATCTCTGCCCTTGGCATCCTCCCACAGGTGCTCTGCCGCCTGCCTCATTTAAGAGTCCTCAGGTAGTGAGCTCCGCAAGGTCAAATCCTCTCCTTTGCCCAGAGATTTCTTCTCCCCAGTTCTGGCTTCTGTGTAGTGAGCCAGCCAGAGCTGCTACTGTTGCTCTTGTGTTCCCCTGCTCACTGGGAGCGAGGCCTCCCTTGGAGATGGCGTTCCCACGTTCCTGTCCTCATTCTGCAGCCCACCTGTACCCCTGATGTTCCAGCTTCAGACCCTCATCGCCTCTTCTGGAGGCCCAGTCACCCTCATCCAATTATCTTATATCTGCTGTGAGAATGGCCTAATGCTGCGGTCTTACCATACCATCTCCATAGCGTATGACTACTGTGACTCCCTGGAACCATAGTGCAAGTGTGAGCTTTAAAAGATGGCCTCGGCAGTGTCATCTCCCAAATCCCCCTTCTACACCCTTCTTCTGTCTGAGCCCTCCACCCTGCCCTCTACCACTCAGACAAAGGCACAAACTTTCACATCTGTTTTCGCATGAGTCTGGAGTGCCTCCACCCCGACCCCTTTGTCCATCTGGCAAAATTCTATTCATCCCCTAAGTCTCAACTCAAATGTCACTTTTGCTGCCGAGCCCTCCCTGAGCCCCACTCCATCCCCCTTTCCTGGAATCACTCACTCGCTGGGCTCCCATGGCACCGTGTTCACAGCCTCTGCCGTGGCATTCATCAAGCAGGACTGGAGTTAGTTATTTACCCATCTGTCGCCCCTTCCTAAATCATGAGCTCGGTGAGAAAGGAGGCCACATGACGATGCTAACATCCCCAGCGCCCAGAACTGGGGCCTCAGAATATGCTGGAAGAGCAGCACTTGAGAGAAACTTACAAAACCAGCGGGAACCACTGAGGGCTTTGGCTGGAGGGCCCAGAACGAGAACTATGCTTGGCAGTTCCATCTTGAGAAATTCAAACAAAAGTCATGACTAACCGCTGCCTGCCTTCTGGACTCAGCAGCCAGGACTGACACGCTGATGCAGACAGACAGAATTCTGTCAGTGAAAGGCCTTCCAGCTCAACCTCGCCTTCACAGTGACTAGTCAGGAGAGCTGTTAAGTTAATCAAAGGACAAGCTGATTGCTAGGCTTCTGAGGGAGAGCAGACTTGCTCACCGTGGACCCTAGCGCTACCACACAGAGGGCTACGGCTGCGCTGTCTCCTGTTTCCTTTTGTGAGACGAGGCCAAGCAGGCCTTGAATTCTTGGGCTCAACAATTCTTCAGCTCCACCTTCAGTGGAAGCTGACACTACTGAGTCACAACATGATGGGTGGCAGTGGTATGTGTGTGTTTGTTTTTTTAATAAAACAATAATTTCTGTCCATATTCTTTGAAGGTTGACCTTATCTATAATAATAATAAAAATTAATAAACATGACAGTATGTTAGGGTTCTCAAAAGGTTTCATAATCACTTATAAGGACATACCATGATTTCATTTTCAGCCTCCAAAGAAAATCGTACACACTATTAAATTATAATAACACGAGGACAGGCACACAGATAATCCATCTCCCTGCTGACAAATTCAGTTGGAACCTGTCAGAGTTCACTGAGAGGGCATTCTTATCAACTGAACATCAAGCTGTAAAGAAGTGAATTCCAAGAAGTAGCTTTTCTTAGCATTTCAAAAAGGTGTCAGCCGACTATGGAAAAATGTTTGTTTTGTCTGGAAAAAAAAATATCAGTGTTTGAGCATTCACAGACCTCAGAGAGGTTTACAGTTAGAAGCAGTGAAGCTATTTCTAGGGTGTCAGAGAGCTGGGTTGCATTGACAAAGGTTTCTAGCTAGCCTTGCCCACAGATGTGAAAATGCCCCTATGGTATGAAAGGCTAATTCCTTTTTTCAAAACGTTTTGTGTAGTTTTGCTCTGTGGATATAAAGATGCAGAGAGGCTCAAATTTCAATCATACATGCACTCTCTGCCATGAATTCTTCAGAGACACACTCTGGCAACAATGTGCAGACTGGATTACACTGAGGAGAGGCTGCCTCGGGGAGGCAGGCTGAAAGGC